TTAAAGTGCAATTCTCCATTGTATTGCATTGTAATTGAGTTTAATTAAACTCCAATTAAAACACATCCCTATATAGGAACGCGTTTTAATCGAGTTCATATCGCAACTATATTAAAAGTTAATTCAACTATATTAAAAGTTAATTCAATGGTGGCTCCACAATTCATGGGACACCTGTATGTGTGTATGTGTCTGTGTGTGTGTCTGTTCCACTGATATCTCAAGAACCATACATTGATTTTTGATGGAACTTGGTGCTCTGGGCCAATACGCAGATTTGATTAGGTTTTGGTAAAAATCCCATGCATATTAATTACCTAATTTGCATGATAATTAGCTGATTTTTAGCTGTTCTATGATTGTTCCACTGATATCTAAAGAACCACTCTATGGATTTTGATGAAACTTGGCACATACATGTAGATGCTCCAAACTAATGCGCATATTTGATTAGTTTTGGGTAACAATCTGTGCAATATTAATTACCTAATATTCATAATGATTAATCAATTTTTGGCTTTTTACTGATATCTCAAGTACTAATCATCACATTTCAATAAAACTTGTACATAGATATCATATATAATTACCTAATTTGCATAATTAATTAATTTTCAGCTTTTGATATTTCAAGTAGTAATCATCACATTTCAATGAAACTTAGTACATAGATGTCATATGACACTGCACAGACCTGATAGTTTTTAGGGTAATATCAGTACATATTAATTACCTAATTTGCATAATTAATTAATTTTCAGCTTTTGCTATTTAAAGTAGTAATCATCACATTTCAATGAAACTTGTTCAATAAAGACTGTGCAGAGACCTGATTAGTTTTGGGGTAAATATTTGTGCATATTAATCACCTTATTAGCATAATTAGTTAATTTTCAGCTTTTCGCCTGATAACTCAAGTACTGATCATCATATTTCAATGAGACTTGCTACATAGATCCTCTAGGACTAAGTAGATACCTGATTAGTTTTAGGGTAAAGAATTGTGGATATTAATTACCTAATTCTATGGTGGGTATGTGAATAGACGTGTTGAAAACCCTCTGCCTAACTCTGGTTTGTTGACCCCAGGTCACGCGATATGCGCAAGCGCACAAACTATTTATGGCAAACGATATCAATTCGGGAACCCCCTATTACTATACTATAAGCTGACTATTCCCATTTTCCATATCATGTATACCCCTCCCTCTCATCAACACAACCTTCTTGAACAAATCTTAAGATGTTTGAGGATCTGCCATCTCTGATGGCTTTTAATTGCATATACTTCAGTTGTACTTTTGTGAACTCTCCTTGCATCCATTCCCATGCCACTTGAAAAGTTGCATGCTTAGTGCATTTGGGAGTCCTATATGTTCTATATGTATCCCAGTTTACTTCCAGTGAATTGCAATGACTTGTATTATATTGTGTTATTATTTGTTCACATGCATCTGGGTGGTTAGTTTATTTGATAAATTTATGTGTATATATGAAAAAGTTCATTTCAAAAATCTATACCCTTTCTCAAATGCTTTGATTGGTGACGTATACACACTTGCTAAAATCCTCAGTCGTGCTGCTTTCTTACATGCATGGCTTGTACTGTTCACTGAGGCTATAATGTAATTGGCTGCTGTTGGTAGAACAAAAGTCTGGGTTACAAAAAAAGGAATGCCACCAGAGGGTTTTTACCTTGCCCTGCCTAGCATATCAATATATAAACATATTAGGCACATAGTGGAAAGCTTTCTGAACATTCTTCACATACTTGTGGTCATTCTTCCTTTTTTTTGTTTTTTATGGTAACTGATGCTATTTTCATTCAATTTGTTTCAAAATTTAATCTGTTGGCAAAGATCATAAAATCGCTGTCCATCAAAAATGGTTAGGTCTTGCATGCATAATTGATGGTATCTAAATATTTTTCACGTTCTTGATATATTTGTTATCACTTCCTTCCTTGTCACCAGTGAGTTTATTCAATGATTTTTTGTTCAATCTTATCTTCTTCTCAGTATTTTGCGTCTGGTTACAGACATTAAAAGTCACTTCTTGTTGATGATCTTGTTCTATGTATGAAGTGATAATCATATGTATTATCAATATAGAATCTTGATGAAGTCATCTCTTATGTGTCTCTCTTGCATATTATTGAAATATGACTAAAAATTGTCAATAAAATGACCATGGACTACTTCCTTACTATTTTATTTGTATTTTATCAACAGCAAGTTTTCCGCATTGAAACAATCTTTTATTGTAGTAGAAAATTTATATTTACTGTATATTACATTTACAAGAAATCTGATGAACATATGAAACTTCATTTAAAGCTTGTTAGTCCCCGTTCGGACGAAGTCCGAAAACGGGGACTTATAATTCGGTCTCCGTCCGTGCGTCTGTGCGTCTGTGTGTCCGTCCAGAGTCATATCTCAGAATCCCGTGGACCGATTCTGTTCATTCTTTGCATGTGCCTAGTACTTTATCTGGAACATATGCACATGCAGTGGTTTAGCGATTCGATTCAAAATGACCGACTGGCAGCCTTGTTTTTTGAAAATGTTGTATTTTTGACATGCTTTGTCAGTTTTCATTCAAATTTGGTACATAGATTATACATGTTAGGATACATGTCCATGACGATTTATTTCACAATTGGATCAAAGATGGCCAACTGGCAGCCATCTTGTTTTTTGAAAATGTCGTATTTTGAACATGCTTTGTCAGTTTTCATTCAAATTTAGTACATCGATCATACATGTTAGGATACATGTTCCCGACCGTCCGTGAGTTCCTGAGTCTGTCCGTCCGTCCGTCCGTTTGTGCGTCAGTCTGTCAATAGTAATATTTCAGAATCCTGTGGACCGATTCTGTTCATTCTTTGCATGTGCCTAGTACCTTATGTGAGACATATGCACATGCAGTGGTTTAGCGATTTTATTAAAAATGGCTGACTGGCAGCCATCTTGTTTTTTGAAAATGTATTTTGGACATGCTTTGTAATAAAGTTATCCAGGGTCAAATTTCAATTTCTAAACATTTTGTAAGTGGGACTCGTCTTGCCGAGATACTGGCGCAAACCCTGTCAGTTTGTTTCATAATCAGATCAAAGATGGCGGAATAACGGCCACTATACATTGTATCTCTGTCACCCATGTATCATTTTCATTGATATTTAGCATGTCATAAATGGATACATGTACATGTCAATTCAATTTGCAATTTGATCAAATATGGCCGACTGGCTGCCATCTTGTTTGTTTAAAATGCGATAACTTGGACATGCTTTCACTTGTGATCTATGTTTTTCTTTGCTATGTCTTAAACCGGAGGGATCGTCACAGAACATGTGTTTTGATGTAAATAAACAATCTGTTGTATACACCGTCTGAGACTCAATTTTCAAGGACACTCTTGCGACAATCCCTCTAATATGACGAGTTCAAAAATTTAACGGGGACTGTGTCATTTTCAATGACTTGTTATTATATGTATTGTATCTTATTACTAACATTTTATTGCTGTAAACCAATGGATATAATAAATATATTCTTTGAAGTATGAGGTCATACTTTCATTTACTGTCATTTAGCTTGGAGTACTCCTATTATGATGAATATTAATTTACATACAGTTGTTTTGTTTTTCTGTCTCTTCAGACTTTTTGTACATTAATATTGAAAATACTGGACAATGATAACACCTCTACGTCAGGTTAGTTACTTTAATGTGTATCTCTTTTTGTCAATTATGCCTATATTCTTTCATTATATTTCATCAGGCAAAGTTATTTTCCTGACATAAACTGAATGTGTATTTTAGTAATAGTGTATTTCCAGAGATAATAGTTTTCAATTACATACAATAGGAAGTTTACTCCCATAATGCATTGCTAGATATTTACAGTAACACACTCAGTAGTGTAAACTTTGAATGGATGTGTGGGTGTGTGCGTGCATGCACAAGGTTGTGTGTGTGTGTGTGTGTGTGTGTGTTTCACTGATATCTCAAGAACCATACGTTTTTTATGAAATTTGATGCATAGATGCTCTGGACTAATACACAGATTTGATTAGTTTTGGGTAAAAATCCGTGCATATAATTAATCTAATTTGCATAATGATTAGTAAATTTTTGGCTTTTCCACTGATATCTCATGTACTAACCATCACATTTCAATGAAACTTACATAGATACATGCACAGATATGTGAAATATTAATTACCTAATTTGCATAATTAATCAAATTTCAGCTTTTGATATTTCAAGTACTATTACTTCATTACTTTTTCAATGAAAATTGATACATACATGCTCTAGAACAATCCAAAGACCTGATTAATTTTAAGTAAAAATTTGTGCATATTAATCAACTAATTTGCATAATTAGTTAATTTTCAGCTTTTACACTGATATCGCAAGTGCTAATTATCTCATTTCAATGAATCTTGGTACATAGATGCTTTAGAACAATGCAGAGACCTGATTAATTTTGGGTAAAAATGTGTGCATATTAATCAACTAATTTGCATGAATAGTTAATTTCCGGCTTTTACACTGATATCGCAAGTACTAATTATCCCATTTCAATGAATCTTGGTACATTGATATTGTAAGACAATGAACAGACCTGATTAGTTAGGGGTTAAAATCAGATCATATTACCTAATTAGCATAATATTTCATAATTTTTTGGTTCTAATCACATTTCAATGAAATTTCGTACATAGACGGTCTGTGACTGTACTTAATTCAATAAATCGTATATTTCTTTAATACATATATACTCTAACACAATGTGGTAATTAGTTTTAGGCTTATATATATCTATAATAATTACCTAATTTGCATTATAATTTACTTTTCAGCTTTCCACTAATTTAGTTAGGATTACTCATCACATTATAATGACATTTTGTACATGTGCATTCTGATATACAATATACAGACCTAAATCTATGCATAATAGTTGCTTAATTTGTGTAATTCTTTGAGGTAATCCACAGACATGATTAGTTTAATGCATATTGATTATTTATTACTAGCCCATTTCTGAGATCTAAAAAAATCAGATTTAAATTTAATTCATGACAGGTGCTCTGGAATTAATTAGACTAAAAACCATGGATGAAAAATCAAATGTATGTATTATAAATTTTGATAATGTGAATCACATTTTTTTCATGTTATGCATCTCAAATAGCAGACAAATATTACTTGCCAAGCTTCTCGTTTGAAAAGCAAATCTTAAATTTTGAATTATTTTCAATGTGTCTCCATACTCTCAGCACACAGAAGTTCTTTTTAAGCTTTCTTTGATTAAATGCTGTATTTGGTCTAATAGAAGCACATTATTTGTATGCCTCCAATACCAAAAGCACTTAAGAGTTCTTTCTAAGTTTTCTTTATTTTTATCTTTGCATCCTTTTATTCCATGGGAAAACAGTAAAGTTTTGTATAGGATGTGATGAAAAGTAGCTTTATTCTTGTGTGTGATCTACCAAGACATTCAATGCTTAATCAATCCTATATTCTGTGTACAGCCAGGGAAGAATTAATTGATACTGCAACTCATTCAGGATCACTAAAACCTGGATCAGGTTGGCAAACCTTAAACTCTCCAGGAACTGTGGCACAAGTAGCATATAAAATACGGATAATGTGTGATGAATACTACTATAGCACAGATTGTATGACATTTTGTAAACCACGTGATGATGACTTTGGACATTATACTTGTGATTCCAATGGAAATAAACTCTGTAATACAGGATGGAGTGGAACAAATTGTGATAAAGGCAAGTATTAATATCAGAACTTTTAGTATGATACTGTATTTGCATTATTAGAAGCGTTTCTCCAATAGAAACACATATAAACCTAAAATTGCATTACTGAATCATGTCTTTTTTTAGCTCCACTGTCAACTTTGTCAAGCCGAGCTCACTGGTATCATATCAGTGATTGTCCGTCGGCATCTATTGTCCGTGTCAACTTTTTACATTTTCAACTTCATCTTGTACAATTCTAATTGCCTCAATAGTTGGTGTCAGGTGTCTGTCCTCGCCGTCGTCAACTTTACATTTTCGACTTCTTCTTAAATACCACAAACTGTATAGCTGTGAAACTTTCTAGGAAGGTACCTTGGGTGGTTCTCTCTCAGATTAGTTCATTTCATGTGGATATGTTCAATTATTTATAGCAAATATTTTTGTAATTTTTGGTCAAAAGTGCTATTTTCGACTTCTTCTTGAAAACCGCTAGCCCAAATGCTTTGATACTTGGTATGTAGGTACATGTACCTTGGGTGGACCTCTCTCAGATTTGTTCATTTTGTGATGATATCTTTAATTCTCTAATTAGTTCCCGTTCGGACGGTAGTCCGAAATGGGAAGTAGTGTTTTTGGTTGTGTGCGTATATGCTTGCGTGTGTGCGTGCGTGCGAGTGCGGTCATATTTCAGACATGCTTTGATGGATTCTCTTCAAATTTGGTACACATACATGTCATGACGGTATACGTATGCACATGCATTTGTTTTGTGATTGTTTTGTGTTTTTTGACCGTTTGGCAGCTATTTTAGACCCCAAAATGCAGATTCTGATTAAGATTACATGCATCTAATACAAAGTTGTTTTTATGTTGTTAAATTGATGTCAATAAAGTTCTATTATTATGTTGGTTTGTCAGAATGTTACCTTTATTTGTTTTTTGTTTGATATCTTGATTTGAAAATGATTGCAATAAAGATTATCAATATTTTTACTACGTACCTGGACCCTGCCTTTCCCCTACATTGTATTATTGTTCAGGCAATGTGTTCCAGTGTTGCATCTTGGGAGAAGATTCGCTTAAGTGAGGTAAATGGTAACACACCTCGTGTTCGGGTTTATGGATGCCTGTTGTCACTTCGCGATAATTAAGACTGAATAGTCTGAAGATCACTAAATTATTTGGTAAGTAAAGTGGAGTAATTTGTTTTTTTCTACTGAGTGTGGGTTTTTATGTTATTTAATTAATGCTTTCTGCAATGATATGTTTGCCTGCTTGTTTGTCATTCAAGCTCCTTCAAGCCAGTTATCTATTTCAATTTGTGTTGGCTAAAAAAATATTTTCTTGCATTTAACTGAAATATAAGTAGCCCTACGTATAATGCTATGTTGATCGGGGCTAACTAATGGACAATGCATCTTCGCACTGCCCTACGCATGCAGTCACAGTTGTTTTGTATTCGATCGTCACAATAGCGACCATGCATTGGAAAATGACTGTTTTTGGACGTATTCAAGATAATCGTTCTGGTTTGATTATTACAATAAAAAAATCATTGATCCAACAGTATCACGTGATTACGATTTTGAGTGCCATTACGAGAGAAAACTGAATAACTTCATTCAAAATGCCTCCTTTTTTGAGAGATTAGCCAGAATTTTACGTCATCGGTAGTGTAGAATATCATTTGTAAACGAAATATTTCCTCGTGACAACATGGAATAGTCATTTAAACCGTAAAATAGTAGTTTATGTCGATTGATTCCAGTCTTTTTATTGTGAAGACACTTAAAGTTAATTTTTGCTATCCACCTCCAAAATGACTGAGTCGGGCGATCGTCAGTCCGTGTTATGGTCT